AACTCAATACATGGTGAACCGAACAGTTATGCATATCTACAATTTCGAGACTACGACTACGGACTACGAAACGCTTCTATAGTGTTGATGTCAAGTCATATTGTTATCATGTTGACTTTCACTCTTTATCACTTGTTATCACTTGTTATCACTTGTTATCACTTGTTATCACTCTCAGAAAATTGAAGGTTTTGAAGATACCGGTTTGGTTCACAATGTAGGTATATAACGCCTGAACAAATATCATCAGAAGTATTCAAAAATAACATCCTACAGAGAGTAGCGGCCAACAACACTCTCCTGTATGTTGCCATAGATGAAGCCCATTGTATTTCGCAATGGGGTCATGACTTCCGACCGGCTTATAGGTAACAACACTTTAGGAATTTCGTGGCGCGTGACGTTTTTTGACCATTGTTAGACGTCTGCAAATCTTCCGAAATTTGTGCCCGAATGTACCACTGTTGGCGTGTACGGCTACTTCAACGCCCAAGGTCAGAGACGATGTCATCAAAAGCTTGGGTAAGGACTTATACCATCACTTTACTTCTTAAGCCCATCACTTTACTTCTTAAGCCCATCACTTTACTTCTTAAGCCCATCACTTTACTTCTTAAGCCCATCACTTTACTTCTTAAGCCCATCACTTTACTTCTTAAGCCCATCACTTTACTTCTTAAGCCCATCACTTTACTTCTTAAGCCCATCAGTTTACTTCTTAAGCCCATCACTTTACTTCTTAAGCCCATCACTTTACTTCTTAAGCCCATCACTTTACTTCTTAAGGCCATCAGTTTACTTCTTAATCCCATCACTTTACTTCTTAAGCCCATCAGTTTACTTCTTAATCCCATCACTTTACTTCTTAAGCCCATCACTTTACTTCTTAAGCCCATCACTCTACTTCTTAAGCCCATCACTTTACTGTACCTGGTCAACTGCATTTGTTGGTGACGAAATTAGAACTCTGAGAAACTTTGGGAAATTCTCATTGGTTGCTCTATATTTCTACTCGAATTCGTATGTAAACTCATGAACGAGCATAAATTCCAATACTGCACATCGCTTCACTTGATCTCTTCGACAGGTATGGTCACTCCTAAAATAGTGTCGATGTCGTTCGATCGGCCGAACCTTACTTACAGTATCGTTTTTAAGGTAGGGGGGACTTTATCAATGGTGTAATGGGGCTTATATACATAATATATTCATACTATCCATCTCTCTATATTCAACATTTGTTGCTTTATGTATGCTTTCCCGGAGTCATATTTGAATTTCCATAATCTAGAAAACTGCTAAGCTCAGATGAGGAGACCAACTACATATATATGGAAACAAGTTGTTATGTTATAATATTATATTAAGATAGGGTCATACGCTATACGATAATATACTAATATACCCTAATATGAAGATATAATTAAAGTCTAGTTAATCATAATATCATAAACATGTAAATAAAATACAATTTCAATCAATATACTAACATTACTAACAGTAGAGTTGGAACCCGTCAGACGTTTCGCCCCTCGGGTCTAGACTCTGGGAGTTTCTAATATATATATATTCAATGGAGTTTCACCAGTTTCACGTGGACTGCGAAAAAGGCGATATTCGCGGTGATATGCAGTTGTCGTGGGATATGTTTTCACTGGTGTTTTTCGTATCACTAGGGTGGTGAAACTCCAATGATTTTCCTTAATTGTTTTATTACCACTCTTGCGCGTAGTTGTTTATAATCTCCTATGCTTCCCTTAGGGGGATGAGGATGACGGTATGGATAAAATAGTGCAAGTCGTGAGAGAGGCTCAGATCGATGGTCCAGAGTCCACTGGGATTGTGTGAGTTCTCCGTGGTGTGGTATGTCCTTTTTTTAATTGCTATCAGGTATTGCTTTAGACGAGCTGATTGCGAGAAGGCTGCTGGCCGACTCCAATCGGCTGGCATTGAGGCAGGGGCTTATCATGCGGGCATGCCTGATAGGGAGCGTAAGCATGGCCTGTTTGTCATTGGACTTGAACATTTAGTCAATCGATCAAGTGGTGAAGCTCGCCATGTGTTTAACAAAACTTCATATTTTTCTGGGCGTAGCCGTCTATTTACCTCACGGTTGGTACTTTCGTCGTGTTGTGTAGAGAGATAATTCGTACGCATGCACACTCGAAATGATCCGAATTGCAATATATAGGTCTACCGCCCGCTTCGCAACTAATTAGGCATAGTTGTGCATTATCGGGGTCATTACCATAACTCGATTTTTTATATATAGGCACTCGTATACAGAATGCATGGCTCAGAGGGGGACCAGGTGCTCCCAGAGTTCTGTGTGCGACGATTGCTTTCGGGATGGGAGTTGATAAAGTGAACAATGCTGAATCGAGGAGGCGGTGTTGTTGTTGTTATTACTTGGCATCAGGCGAATGTTCGCTTTGTGATTCACATGACGTTGAGTAAGACTGTTGAGGGATACTATCAGGAGAGCGGCAGAGCTGGCCGTGATGGGAAACCTGCGAAATGTGTAAGTATTACTACAGTGAGTTTGATAGGCAAGAAAATGACTAGGGACGAGAATGACACTGTACGACATCTTTTTCATTAAGTGAGTGCTTGTATCGTCCAACTGATGGACATGCGCACTTCAACTGTGCCGAACCGCATGTAACTGTTCACTAGTTCGGCGTTCTTGCTATTCCGTAACTCATCCTCGGGTACACGCGATTTACTTTCATTGCTAGTCGCTCGCCGTAGGAGACCAGACATGGTGTTTTGTCTCAAGACCCGTTGTTAGGATTAGATAACTCAACAAGAGTTATAAACAAGTGGTTCTCAACTAATGATCAATACAGTAATCATAAAGTATACGCTAGGCTAGCAAGGGAGACTAGTATCACAAGAATCTAAAATTACAGAAGACACTTGTGTACAGTATTTCCTCACACCCGTCTCCTTTTTACCGTCGTTCTTTTACTCTACTACTTCCTGTGGTCATCTATCTATATCTCGTTACTGAGTCATAAGACAAATAATAGTAAATTCATGGCACGAATTCTCTCCAATGTACTCCCACTACGTTCGTTGACGTGCCTTCTTCCTTACTCGTCCACTTGGAGTGCACAGTGTCAATTTCTGGTGTTCGATCCGTCTCTTTGAACCATACTTTCAGGCAGTGTACTATCTCTGTTACTGCATTACCACACTTTTCTCACATCTAGTTGAAATGAGGCTAC